AAGAACTTTCTTTTATTAGTTTTAAACCTGCTACCCATTAATTTCATTTGGTGTCCTCTAGTTCTTCTATTTAGGGAACTAATAAATAACACTTCTTTATCTGCCCTCTCCACACCACTCATGATTTTATAGACCTCTATCATATCCCCCCTCAGTCTCCTCTTTTCTAAACTGAAAAGTCTCAGTCACTTTAACCTCTCCTCATATGGGACCCGTTCTAAACCCCTAATCATTTTAGTTGCCCTTTTCTGAACCCTTTCCTCTGTGCTGGTTAGGCCTCAATTGGAGTAATGTGTTCAGTTCTGGGCACCGCATTTCAAGAAAGATGTGGAGAAATTGGAGAGGGTCCAGAGAAGAGCAACGAGAATAATTAAAGGTCTAGAAAACACAACCTATGAGGGAAGGCTGAAGGAATTGCATTGGTTTAGTTTAGATAAGAGAAGATTGAGGGGGGACATGATAGCAGTTTTCAGGTATCTAAAAGGGTGTCTTAAGGAGGAGGGAGAAAACTTGTTCATCTTGGCCTCTGAGGATAGAACAAGAAGCAATGGGCTTAAACTGCAGCAAGGGAGGTTTAGGTTGGACATTAGGAAAAAGTTCCTGTCAGGGTAGTCAGACACTGGAATAAATTGCCCAGGGAGGTTGTGGAATCTCCATCTGTGGAGATATTTAAGAGTAGGTTAGATAAATGTCTCTCAGGGATGGTCTAGACAGTATTTGGTCCTGCCATGAGGGAAGAATTGCCCAGGGAGGTTGTGGAATCTCCATCTGTGGAGATATTTAAGAGTAGGTTAGATAAATGTCTCTCAGGGATGGTCTAGACAGTATTTGGTCCTGCCATGAGGGCAGGGGACTGGACTCGACCTCTCGAGGTCCCTTCCACTCCTAGTATCCTATGATTACTGTAGGAATAGGTCTTCATCAGTTTGCATGAATGTACACTGAAATATAATTTTACCCACATTTACTAATACAAATTTAATCCTTCCAAGCCTATCTACTTCCCTCCTACTACCAATGCTGAACTGTTCTTTGATTAGAAATAACATCACCTAATAAAATGCCTCGTTTAGGAAAAAGAGGTAAGTTTTAAAGGAACAACTTTTTGAAAGATACCAAACACTCTTCACAAAAGGAGAAGCTGTGATGTACTCACTGAAGAGGTGATGTCAAAATGGAAGATCATGGGTTTTTGCTGGTGCTGCCAGCGCAGGAAAGGCAGGAGAGATTTCAGCACTTTGTCCTCATCTATGTGGGGTTCAATTAGCCGGATGGTGTTTGGAAGCTCTCTCACATCAGGTAGTTTTGTCTTCAGTTTTTCATGTAGTCTCTTCACATAGAGGGATTTTCCTGTCATCATTTTTAAAAAGGACTCATTAATTTTAAGTAAAGAACCAGAAAAGCAAGAATATATAGAAAAAAGGTGGACCGCCAAATTGGAAAAAATGGGCAGCTGCTTCCTAAATTCAGTCTGCCTCTTGATTATTTTTCTGAGGCTGTCTCTCCACTTGCCATGCCAGAAATCAATCTTCTGGCGTTCAATTTAGCAAGTCTAGTTAAGATCTGCTAATCGAACGCTGAGGGCAGCTCTGGTCAGTGCTGATTCTCCTTGCAGCTGCAAGGAGTAAGGAAAGCCAGACCTCCTACTGTGAAGATGGTGTCAAGATCAACTTAAGATAAGCCAACTCCACCTATGTATTTTACATAGCTGGACTTGTGCGCCTTAACCTGACCTTTCAGGTCTAGTGTAGAGCTGGCCTAAGAATCTATTCAGAGAGGAGGAAAGGCCTGAATATGCAGTTGTTGATGGCTCAGGGTCTGAGGTGAAGCAGTTTCCTGCCACTGAACAATGGCTTTGCCCATACTGCAGGAATCCACTGAGAAGCCTGGTGAGAAAAATGTTGCTATTCGTGATCTTTTCATTAGGACTTACACAAACTATTGTCTGTTCCCAGACAGCATGACCTCTAAAAACATAGTCCCATGTAAGGCAGGCAGCAGGGAGGCTTCAAAGTACAAGCCGTCCTTGCTGCAAGTCCAAGGTACATTCCAAAAAACTTGGACATACAGCGAAACAGCTTAACGAGGAGGATTTTTTTCCCCCATGGCTGACTTGCATGTGTGAAAATTGGGGGAGGGTGGGTTTGTGCAACTTAAAAGCAGAGAATGGGAGGACTTATGATGCATCAGTTCCTACAAATGTTAATGACTTTTGTGCGGAACGGATATATACCGAGGCGACTAATACGGGGATGTCCTGAATCTATGTCAAAGGGCCTTAAGTTTCCTCTCCTGTAGGCTTTTGGACATAAAACCCAATGGCCAGTGACTCCGACTCAGCTGCCACTGGGTGAACTGATGGAAAGGGGACCCAGAAAGAGTTGGTTGCAGTTCCTAGATTCTTGGCTGGTTCCATGTCAGTCTCAGTCGGATCAGAGAATGTCTCAGAGGGGCAGCCGTGTTAGTCTGTAACTTTAAAAAACAAAGTAGTCCTGTAGCACCTTACAGACTAACACAAATATATGTGCAGTATCAAGAGCTTTTGTGGGCACAACCTACTTCTTCAGAGGAGCACAGCGGAGAGGAAAGGGCAGGAACTGAATGTATAATAGAAAAAGGGGGGAGGAGGAGAGGAAAAGAGTACCGCTGTGTCTAGACTATACTTCTCTGTTGACAGAGATGTAGATTAGGCACATCGAAATTACTAATGAAGCAGGGATTTAAATATCCCACTCTTCATTAGCATAAACACGACCACCACTTCTTTTTCGAAATGGAGCTTTTTCGAAAAAAGCGGCAGTCTAGACGCAAATCTTTTGAAAAATAAACCCTTTTTCGAAAGATCCCTTATCCCTCAAAATGAGGTTTATACCATCTTTCAGAAAAGGGTTTATTTTTCAAAAGATCCACGTCTAGACTGCTGCGTTTTTTTTTGTTTTTTTTTTTTTTCGAAAAAAGCGCTGTTTCAAAAAAAGCGGCAGACGTGTTTATGCTAATGAAGCACAGGATATTTAAATCCCTGCTTCATTAGCAATTTTGACGTGTCTAATCTATATCTCTCTGTCCACAGAGAGATGTAGTCTCTAGTATCCTACCTGTCAATTGTAGTGTCAGTGTAAATGAGGCCAATTGAATGGGCTGGAAGTGTCCCATACTTAGCTTTTGATATCAATGGGGTGTTGACTGTAAGGAAAGCTGGTTTCATAATGGCCCATCCAGTTCAAGTCTTTGTTCAAGCCTTGAGAGAGTGTCAAATTAGCATACGAGGGCCAATTCCCCAGTCTCTCTGTGGTTGGCTTGTGAAATTCCTTTGTAAACGGCTACTTTTAAGTCCATCAGTGAGTGCCCGCAGGTGAAAATGTCTGACTTGTGTCCATTTATCCTAGCTGCTATTCCTGCTCCGCACCCATTAACTGCTTCGCACCAGGTGTGGATTGCTGCGTTCCCACCCCCTGCACCAACAGGAAGGGAAAGGAGTGCAGCCAAAAATCATGGCCCCCCAGTGAAGCCATGGCTGCCTCTCTGGAAGCGCTGCCCTGAGCTTCCCATTTCTATCCCAAGGGCATACATGTGTCCACTCAGCTCTGATCACTTCCTCACAAGAATGCAGGCATTTTCCATCCTGATCCGTTAGGGCACTGCCCAGGCAGCCATGCAGCAGGGCACCTAAAAGCATCAAGGCCTGGTCACAGGGCTCCTGTAGGAGTCTGAACTGCTGACAGATGCAGAAAAGCAAAACCCGCTGGTGCCAGGCTGGGAGAGAAGCCAGGACCCAGAAGTCCCACACATCCAGTTTTGAAAGCACAATCTAACACACACCTCTTTATTCCGGCAACCCTAGGAAACCAGATGTGCCAGATTAAAGATTTTGCCAGGCCAGGGAAGATGCTGAAGGGCCTGGCTGTGAGGGGGATGGGCGCTTACCTGCTGCCCATGTGGCTCCCTGCTCCCCAGCACTTACCCCCTGCCCATGTGGCTCCATGCTCCCAGGCACTAACCCCCTCACCACTAAGGGAGTGGGGGGAAAGCCTCCGGGGAAGTGGCTCATCACATGGCCCTTCCACCAGCTGGGTGCGGGGAGTGGCAGCGCACAGAGCCAACACCTCCTCCGTACCACAGGGTGTTCCCGGATTAGGGACACCCAGAGAACAGAGGATTAAACGTATGTGATCTTAAAATGATGGTGAAACCCTGAAAGACAGACCCGAAGAGGAGCTCAGCACAAGCGACAGCTGAATAGATATGAGCTCCTCCACCGTGTGTCTGGGAGGGTCCCACACTGCCTCAGTTGCTCTCTCTGGATATGGCTCCAGGAGGGCCCCCACATCCGGCTACCCCCTAGTGTTTCAAAACCTCCTGCCATAGGGCAGCTTACCTACGCCAGCTCTTTTGGAGGCCACGATCCCAACACACATGTTCTCACTGAACACGGACGCTGCGGACCCTGCGGGCCGTGGGACTCGGTAATGGTTCCTCAGGTAGGTCTGGACGTCCTTCAAGGGCTCCTGGGGGACCATGTGCACTTTGTACTGGCTGAAGACTGACGGGAGGTAGCTGTGCTCTCTCTCGCAGTCACACAGGATCACCAAGCGGTACTTCTCCCGGTGGCTCTGTCGGGACAGGCTCTGGAACAGCTTCTCCAGCCCGTAACTGACATCGTAGCTCAGCTCGTCTGCAAAGAGCATGGTGTAAACCTTCTCCCCAGGGCAGCCCAGCGTGAGGCAGCGCCGCAGGAAGAGCCCGGCTTGCTCAAAGCTGGTCTGGGGGGTGCACAGGAGCACCTCATCGTAAGTGGGCAGGGCTTGGCGTGGACTGTGCATGTAGATGGCCAGGGCTGAAGCCAGCATGTCAGACCGAGGGCAGATGATGAGGTTGGGCCTGCCAATATGCAGGCCTTGGGGAAGAACTCGAAAGACACGTTCCTTCTCCAGAGCCGCCAGACCGGCCAAACAACTGCCGAGCGTATCAATATCCCAGCAGTCCGGCAGGAACGAGCTCATGCATTCTAGGTAAGCAACCCAGATCTGCTCCAGTTGCATGGTCAGGTCTCTGTCACTGCACAGCAGCTCCGGCACGTCAGAAATATTCTTCCTGGATCGGTCAGACACCACGTCTTTGGAGACCTTATGCACATCCTGTCTAGTGCAGTGGTGTTTTATGAACGAGAGCATCATTAAGGCATTCTCGCTGGGCTGCCGTGTTCCAAGTTCTCGGCAGAGGTAAACCAACTGCTCAGAGGTGTAGTAGTTCAGGTAAAAGTACTGAGATCGCTTCTCAGCCATGAAGCATTTCCATTTATCTAAGAATGTCTCCATCTTCCTGCAGAGGTCCAGGAGAATCGCCGTCGTGTTCCCCGTTCCACTAAGCTCTCGGACAAGTTTCAAATGGAAATCCATGCTAATGCACACCTCGCTCATGGGTGAGCAGTACACATTGGCAATCCAGGAGCGGAAGAGCATGTTCCCAGCTGAATAAAGGTCTATAAAGGACTGTGCGAGTCTCTGGACATTGGAAAACACCTGTGTGGGGGATAAGAAGATTGCATTATGCCGTGCAGAACAGTAGCTTTGCAATATAAGTAGCCTTCATATGTCATCTAGCTAAGTATTTATAACAGGGAGTGTTGAGGCTACGATGCTTCCTCCTAGCTGTGGAACAACAGTTAGCTTTAATTAAAAGGGAAAGGGACAGAGTTTGGGTTCTAATAAATGGTGCCTGAATTGACAGTCCTGGAGATGGAGAGCCCCAATGGGATTCACAGCTGTCCTGCAGTGATTACTAGCGATGTAGAAGGTTATCCGCCAAGCCTCACCCTTTAACTGGTAGGGTCTGGGGCAACTCCCCACCCACCCCAGGCAGGGCTCTGCTCCTGGCCTGCGGGGCCCACCAGAGCAGCCCCCATGGAACCAGAGAGAACTTCAGTCTGTACAGACCCATTCAAACCTGGACCATTCTGCTGGCACAGCCAACAAGAGGACTGGATGTGATGTGGACAGCTGGATGCTAGAGACTGAAATGAGACCTGCCAATTTACTTCACTGTGGCTCAAGAGCTGGGGAACACACCCCCAGTTCCCACACCAAGCTGGTCCACATTCAAACAGGAGTCACAGGGGAGACAAGCAGCCCATCCCATCTCTGCAACTTTTAATGTTAATCACGTGTGTGACAGACCCAGACCACATGGCTGCAGGAGTGTGGTGGAAGTTAAGATACTGGCCATGGAATGAACCATTTCCCGAGTGAGCAGGGCAGGGGCTGCGCATCAGAGCAATCGGGAATGTGCTAGAACCAATTCAAAGGCAGGCCGACTCCATAAGACTGCTGGAGCCCACTAAGAACCTGCTAGGACAAGGTTAGAAGGTTCCTATTCAGAGTGGGTGGTTGGTGAGGAGCTGGGAGGAAGGTCGTGGGTCATGGAAGATGAGTGTGGTCAGGTACCAAGAGCAAGGTGCTGGGACAGGTTGTTTGGGGAAGTGGTCCAGGGCAGGGCTATAGCTTTGGTAGTGAAAGAAAAACTACCTTTTGCCACTCCCAAAAGGGTCCCTGAACTGGAACCTGGAGTAGAGGGCAGGGCCAGGTTCCCCCACACCCTCCCCACTCCAACATAGATGCACAACGTGAGAGGGAAGACAGATTAAAGAGGTCCTCACACCAAACCCACGGACTGAGCTGTGATGAAGGTGGCTCAGTAGGCCGTGACCCTTGCCTCTAGAAAGGGAGAGAGGCTATGTTGAGGGTCACTGTGAACCTCTGAGGCACGCCCTAACTGTCTAAAACCCAGGACCCCCAAGGCAAAACCGGAGCTTCGCCACAAGCATTAGAAACCAACGTTGTAAGGTTAGACTAACCCCAGCCCCTGGAAACCAGGAAACAACTTGAACGTGGAAAGCAGCTATTGAAACCTGACCTCAGAAAACGTCTCCACCTCCATGCCCTGATCTCCCTTTCCGGACATCAGCATCAGCTTGTTCAGCAGCTCCCTGAGCTCCTCCAGAGAGTACTGTCGCATCTCTTCACTATCCCCGTGGCTCTCCGGAAGGCTGAGGAGCAGGACAGTGTCCAGAGAAACCTGCCAGGGAATACTAAGCATGAGCACAAACACATTTTGTTTTCCTTTTCATCAGTGTATCCAATGCTTATGAACAGCTGTGGAGAGCTTTCCTGCCTTCCCACCTCTAACGGAGAGCACAGAGGGCAGGCATCGGGGCCACATGATAAAAGAGGCTGGACAAGATGGGGAGAGAGCTACAGTTCCCTAGGAAACAAAGGGTGAGTACCTTCAGAAAGCAAAAGGTGTTAGCTATCAGCAGGTGAAGAAATCCGTAGCCACAGGGTGGATTTGATAGAAAAAGCCCTTAGCCTCTCTAAATTATTTTTGTCTGATGCTTCTACTTTTACACAATAACTTTGGCTACGTTATGAAACCAAACTGTCACTAGAAAAAAGTTTTCCCACCACATGAGTCCCTGAACTGGCACTGAAAACCGTGTAATTGCCATTGGAGACAAGATGAAATCACTTTCAATACTGTCGCAGATAGCCTGGCTTTGCGTAGGATCAGTGCTCTTTGGCAGTGACTGCACTGTAAAGCAGAACAAGGAGCAGTGGTCTCAAGTTACAATGGGAGAGGTCTAGGTTGGACATTAGGAAAAATATTTCACTAGGAGGGTGGGGAAGCGCTGGGATGGATTACCTAGGGAGGGGGTGGAATCTCCATCCCTAGATGTTTTTAAGTCTCGGCTTGACAAAGCCCTGGCTGGGTTGATTTAGTTGGGATTGGTCCTGTCTTGGACAGGGGGCTGGACTTGGTGACCTCCTGAGGTCTCTTCCAGCTCTATGATTCTATGGAAGTTAGCCGGTCAGGATAGCTGCACTGAGACTGATGGGGGCAAAAAGGCTCTGACCACTGAGACAGTGCACCCAGCAGGCAGGTAAGCCGAGTCTCACCTGGCCTTTTGGCGGTGCTCTGATGATGTAGATGCCTTTACTATTGATGGCAGTTGCTAGCGATAGAGAGGACAGTTCCACGGACCCATGGCTCTCCTTCACCGTTTTCAGCCATTCCAAATGTCGCGCCGAATCACGCTGCCAGGAAAAGAGAGAAGCCATCATTCAGCTTCACTCCTTTGCTTTGTCTGCCAGTTCACACAGCGAGACCACCCTGAAGACTGGCCTGCCCACAGAGATTCTGGGGGCACAGTGGCCCACATGGGCGAAGGAGGAAAAGGTCATATCATAATCTCCCAGCAACATGCTGGGCACCAGAGTTTTTCAAGGCTGACACGTAGGGAAATGAAATGAGCAGACAGCAAAAGGAAATGACTGTTACACCCCAAAGTAGGGCTGTTAAATAGCAGTTCAGTAGCTAACCATGTAACTGCTGAAAAAAACCTCAGTTATTACGCTCTGTAGGCTCTGCAGTACAGACCTTATACTGCAGAGCCTGCAGCACAGCCGGCTCCCCGGGAGCAGAGCCGGCCGGCCCCACTCCCAGAGAGCCAGCTGTGCTGTGGGTCCTGCAGTATAAAGTTTACAGTGCATGCCGGAAGCTAGCTTTTAAGCCTGCTCCTGACATATACCAGCTCCCGCCTGCTGGCTCTGCTCCCGGGGCGCTGGCTGCTGCTGCCCCACACTGCAGGCTGTGATATAAAGGCAGCAGCACAGGGTGGCAGCCGGCTCCCCAGGAGCAGGGCTGGGAGCCTGCATGTAACTATTAACAGTAACTTATAAGCCTGGGCTTATAAGTTAACCATTTAAATGGTTACCCTTTATATCCCTACCCCAAAGAATACCAACTCTTAATCAACGGCCGCTCAGACGGGAGACAAGTGTATGCACTGCTCTAAAGCTTCTTGTTGCACATAGGCACACTGGGATGAATCAGCTCCAGCTTTGGCCCAGGGTCTCTGCTTCGGTTAACTAAGCCAGAAACGCTGCATCTACATGCCCCTCTATGGCACACAGGAGCACCAGTCTGCGTCCCTTCCCCAGCCATGTTATAAAAGCTGGAGAGAACAAGACGAACTGAGGGATCATCAGTGCAGGAGTTACCAGTTTCTTGGGGAGATTTGTATCACTTTCCAGGGCTTTCCACAATTTCTTCAGGCACTGCATGAACTCCTCCAAGCCTGACTCCCGCTTCAGCTCATAGAGCAGGGAGGAGTAGCCAAGCACAGCATCATGGAAACAGGCCACGCGATCCACATCCATGTCATTCTCGCCTGCTGAGATGGAGGCCAGGTCCACAAACACCTTCAGCTCATTGATATCTGTGGGAAATGCACAATGGGGTTCCACATTTCATTTATTGTCTTTCTGCAACAAGATGCCAGGATGCTTAAGCCAAGGAGTCTATAAAATCATCCCCTAGAAGCATCTCAGCGCAGACCTCTCTCCCTTTTGCTGCAAGCTCTAACCCATGACAGCTCCCCAGGGTGGTCCCTCCGCATTACCCACATCCTGAGTCCCTGCTTTTCTAACAACAAGCAACTGGGGGTTGGAGCAACAGCAGGGAAGGAAACAGAACTCTCTGCCTGTGGGCAGGGAAGAGTAAGTACCTGGCCTGATGGATGGTACTTGTTATTCCTGTTATTATTAACATGGCCTTTGTTCACCGAAGAATGACCAACTTGCACCAAATAGATCAGCGCTACAATCTCCGATATCGAGCAGTGATATCAGACAGTGTGCCAGGATCCAGCAAATTCTTCCAAAAGTATCAAAGGGGCCACAACACAGCTCCTTTCAAACCAACACATGTAAGAGCCATTCATACCTCTCAGCATGAGATAGGTCAGCTCCACCTCAGTGTAACGTGGTTACCAGATGGGTCAGGACCTCCTCAAACCCCAAGACAGCCTCCCCCGAACATCACTTGTGCCTTTTCCTGTCCAATTCCCAAGCAAAGCGGCTAGGGGGCAGCGAGACTTATTTTACCTTCCAGAGCCTCTTTGACCCAGTTGACAAAGTCTCTCCTGAGTACGAGTTCCTCGAGGCACAAACGACGGGGCTCTGTGATCCCCTGCAGCCGTTCCTTAGCGCGCATCAGAGCGGGGCTGATGGAGTCCAGATTTTTTTCCTTAAAGGATTCAAAACTGTTTGTCTGCAAGACAAATTGTGTAAATGGATCAGCAAAATCCACAATTTAATAATGCAAAAGCGACGAGGAGTCTTGTGGCACCTTACAGACTAATGTAGTAATGGCCACTCTTAACATCTTGCCAGTAGAAAGAAGGAAGAGCCCCTTTACTATCATGCCCCTAGTCCCACTCCAGAAACAGAAGCATTAGATATTAAATCACACCATGTGGCAGCTACAGTCTAACAGATTGAATTCAGGGCTGGGAATCTCTTCCCACTGACCCAGTGTTCCCTAGAGCAAGTCATTTCACCTCTGTGCACCTTATCTACCCGACCTGTAAATGGGATAACAATGCTCAGTCACCTCTGTCGAGTGCTTTGAGATCTGTGCAAAACATTTATTATTTTAAAGGAGATGGCACAGTTCCAAATGTGAACCCTGCCATGGAGAGAAAAGACTTCACAACATGGTTCAGATTTACAATGTCTTCCTAAGCCACGTCTGTACTGCGGATGGTTTAAAGTGAAATACTTACAAAATTCAACAACACCTCCAGGATTCTGAAATCACCTGAGAGGTTTAAGCCCTCTCTGACCTTGGCAATGACCTCAGCAGAGTCAAAAGCTAAGTGCAGTTCGTGGTACTGCTGGATTTGCTGAAGCCGTTGTCCTATCCATTCTTTGTTGTCTACTGGGTCCAGCTGGCACATGATTTGCAGGTCGGTTCTAATCTGCTCATACTGGCTTGTAAAATCCCTGAATACGGAGTCAACATCAGCAAATGTGAGTGTTCCGGATTTCAGATCATTATACAATCTCCTATATTCACGATAACAAGGAGAGAAAAATTCACCAAGATCCGAGATAGGAATAATCTGTCCTTCCCACTCCTCGTCTTCCTCCACCATCATTTGGGTGGCCCTCTCCCAGCAGAGCTGGAAGATGTAACTGTCCTTGAAAGTGTGCATTGTCTTAGCCACCTTCTTCAGCTCTGGGCTCAGGTTGTAATATGTTTCTAGAGTGCCCTCCATGAGTGAGTTCAGTTGTCTCACATCCACAACCTCGGCCAGTTCTTTGGAGTCCAAATTTTCATGGTACTTCTGCTCAACTTCAGCAATGTCCACTTTAAACAAAGAAAGTCAAGGATCAGTTGACAACTTCTTTTACTCTGTTCTCAGATTCCAGCTCTTGTGGCCAGACACTGAATGATTCAGTGCCATAAAAAAAAAAATCAGCCTCTGAGACTCCTAAAAGTATCACTTAGTATCGGGAAGTAAACCCATACCTCTCCTGCTCTCCCTACTGCAAGTTTCTTGACTGAATTTTTTCAACCTCCTCTCCCCAATTCTTGCTCATCTGATTCCCCACTTTTTGTTCAACCCTGTAATTAATGAACAAAATCATCTCAACTGGAAACCCTCAAAGATCTCACTTCAAAGAGGTCCCCAAAAGCACGTACCTTTTATAAAAGCCTGCACCTTCCTGCACATATCCAGAAGGGTTCCAACCCAATTTCTCTCTCTCTTTAGCAAGATTATTTCTTCTGTTCTCCATGCTAGCACTTGTTTCAGATCATGCTGCTGGTAGTTTTTCTCTTCGGGTGAGAGGTATTTGCGCTCTGAAATGAAAATTGTCAACAGTCTCCAAAAAAATCCCATCTTATGGAGTGTACTCATTTCCTAAAAAAATGAAACAGGCTGCTACACATCAGTAGTGACATCACCTAATGAAAAACACGGAGCTGGGAGCATCATATAAAACTCCACCGGAATGATCAAAATAGCCCGAGAGCTCCTCCCCTTTTAAAATACAAACACGCACACTTACGTAATTCCCATATGCAAATAAATTGTTTCTTGTGCTTTATAATAAGCTCCAAATGTTTCACTAGGATAGTTCCACTCAAGAGCTTGTCAGCAACATTTACACAAACAGAGTCAGCCACAGCCATTAACTTCTTAGCTGCATCAGTAAGTTGTTCCAGGATCTTCCCATCTGCTCCTATCAGAAAAACAAAGCATTTAAATCCTGAACCTTTCCTCCTTCTTCCTATTTCTGTGCTTTTAGAAGTAACTGCGGTTTATAGATGAGAAACACAATTTGTGTCTCTTCATTTCACCTTAACCTTTCTGTAAAGACTGTAATCTTGTTGTGTTGCACCAGTACCACTATATAAGCGATATACAGATTCACACTTTAAACAGTAAGTACCCACAAATACCCATGATCTAAACTGAAATATCTTGATATATCCTCTACTGACAGACAGCAAAAACCCAACCCTTATGCCTGGAGATGACATTCCCTGGGAGAAACACAAAAGCTCTCCTTGAGTACCTGAAGCAACCATCCTGTGCATTTCTCATTTACCATAAACGTTACAAAATTTTTCATCTCCCCACATCCACTGTTTGGAAACCTAAACTACAAGAGATTTCTCCTTATCCATAGATTCCACGATTCCTTCTTACAAACACTGAGGCTAACAGAATACTTCTTGGTTACACATATAGGGTTTTCCTATGAAAATGTAGATAGTTCATTAACTTTTGGTTTCCAATATCCAATCTAATTATCAAGATTTACTCTATCACCTCAATCTCAATACACCTTCCATTTGCTGCTATGTACCATTGAGGACAATATGGGAACATCCCTTTCACCACCTACCAATACAGATATCCCATAAAACCATACCATTGAAGTTGAAAAGATGCTTGATGTCAGACCACACAAGCAGATGATGTAACACCTCATCAAAGTCATCAACAGGTTCCCCACAGCTGGTGCTTGGCCAAGATTTTGTGATAACAGCTGACACGAGCTTGCCAAATTTGTCCAGGTTGTAGGACGAGACCAGATCAAGGAGATTATTCTGAGACTGCAGAAGACACAAAGGGATGGGGGATATACAAGGATGTGGGTAAACTGGATTTGCCTACAGGCAGTCCCCGACTTACGCGGATCCGACTTATGTCGGAGCCGCACTTACGAACGGGGCTTTTCTCGCCCCAGAGCTCGCGGGCGGCGGGACCACCCAGAGCGCAGCGGTCCCATCATCGCGTCCTCCAGGGCAAGAAGAGCTGCTCCGGGGCTCCCCGGTCTGCCGGC